TATTTTTTAATGAACGAGGTTTCACTTTAGTTTTTTTTTTATATTATGGCTGCGATTACAAGCGACATATAAACAATTTCTAACACGTAACGGTTAGACAGAAAAAATGTGAATAACGTAAAATTTCAAGCGAAAATCGAACGCGCGATACGTCGTACGGCAAAAAGTTGTCAAAAAGTAAATAATTATTAAAATCCTTACACATTTGAGACGCGTTTTCCATATGCGTACACTTAAGTTGTGACTTAAGTCTACTCACATATTTTTATTGAAAACAAATGCTAACAACGATTTTTACTCAACTTGTAAAACCTGTGTCTGTGTGAGTCTGCATCGATTTTGTTGGCAAGTTAGTATAAAAATGTATAACGCTAGTCCACATAAAATAAACATTATTATGGAATAATATTTTCATTTTGGGCAAATCTCTGCTTGTTTCTAGTCACAACGGCATTCTGATGAGTACACTGATTCATTTGGCATGACATTGGTTAGGAACTAAACAAAAAAACAATAAGAATAACGATACAAGTGCAGTAAATAATACATAATAATATTTAATAATACTAAAACAGCGAAAAGTTCATATAGCCGGAAAAATAACACCAGAAAATAATCATAAAATACAAACTAATTCAAGTAACTGATAGAAGAATGATTGGAATATCCAGAAAGTTTTGATAGTCTGGAAATGAGTCTAATTAAGAATGTCTTTTGGCTCAGAATGACTTGTATAAATCAGGCGGTAAAATTTTGGAATACAAAACTCTCGTTTTGCCGATTTCCTGCAATGTTGGCCAAAGGACTATATTAAAGTCTTATATCGCATGGACAGACTGACATTCGGTAGCTTACTTTATTTTTCCAAAAAAGCAAGCTATGTGCTCCATCACTAGCTTATGATAACGAGGGCATTGTTGAGCAAAGGCTGTTTGACGATTTCATACGACGAGACGAGACGAGGGTATAGTTAGGAATCCCAAGTTTAATTATGAAAGAACCTTGCTTCGGTATGGATTTCCGGCATGACCGGAGTGATTCTCTTTTACTTAATTTTTGCTGAAATATTTTGAGTAAAATACTATTTACTTTTAAAAGGAGAATATTACAATGTCGTGACATCACCACATTGTAATATTTATTGGAACAGGAAGCTTTTAATAAAAGACAATTATGGAATGCAAAACAATTTATTTTTAGATTCGATGCATTACTTGAACAGTAATTATCATTTACTATGACTGTAGTCGTATAATCTATTCATACACACGGTTTTAGGCCAAAAGGTGATGTAGGGTCACCTGCTTTGAGAGTTACCTACTCAAAGTGCTATCAGACTACCACAGATGGGTGCAAGCGTATTGATGGCCCACAGCCGAGAAGGGCAGGAGAAGGAAAAAAGTGGGCTTTTGTCAGTATGGATCTGACACTCCTCTCGCCCCACCCTGCACGAACCCCCTTCCTCAAAAGGGTGTACCGGTTTCCTTGTACATTGAAGAATTTATAGACAATTATCGAACGAAGCAGAAAATGTTTAAGTTAAAAGAGATTTATGTGTACTTGAGTTTATTCAATTTGACTACCTACATTAATTCCCTAAGTAATCTTAGTCTTTTTCATATAATCAATAAAATTAAAACACTAAATATTATAGAACTAGAAAACTTGTCTCCAAAGTTCAAAATGCTCTGGCAAAGCCTTTAGTCCCTACAATTACTTATAAGCTCGGCTCGTCCAGTTCTAGGTCACGGCTTAATATAATAGACTCTAGGTCGTTAGAGTTCAATGTCATTTGCATACGCGTGTTGGACATTTTTCTTCAAGCTGGAATAGGACCAAAATTTCCTTTGGAGTGCTGCTGAAGAGTAGAAAGAATTATTTGGGCTTTCAATTCATAAAAATATTAAAAAAATATTACACTTTCACTATTTGATTTGACGATATATTTTTGCTAAAAATATTAATAAAGAACTAGCTTTTGCCGGCGACTTTGTTCGCGTGCAATAGTCACTTCTTTGAAATTTTTGGTTAAAAACTATCCTATGACCTTTATCGAGTCCCAAACTATGTCTGTACAAAATTTCATACAAATAGGTTCAGTAGTTTAGGCGTAAAAAAGACAGACAGCCAGACACAGAGTTACTTTCGCATTTATAATATCAGATTGGATATTAATTGGATTATTTATAGCTGTTTTCTGTTTATCCTGTTATAAACTTTTTGAACGACAGTAAGATACGACTACCAAAATCAGGCCGCCAAAACCTTTTAAACTCAGATGTTTACCCATTCAACCAAGCGTAGAAATTATCGCATCTTCAACTTTTTCTGTAAATCATGTCATGTCTGTCATGTTTAAAGTAGTCTAACTTCCCTACTTAGTATAAAACAAAGTCGCTTTCTCTTTCCCTATATCCCTATGTAGACTTAAATCTTTAAAACTACGCAACAGTTTTTTCAATAGATAGAGTAATTCAAGAGGAAGGTTTATATCTATAATAACATCTAAAAAATAGTAGAGAAATTTAGTACTAATACTGCACTCGTACGAAGCCGTGGCAGGTCGCCAATTTACAATAAAACTTCATCATAACTATAATTATTATATTGTAACTCATTAGAGGATGAGGACTTGGACTCATGAGGCAGCTCACGTGTAACAAAACTATCGAATACTTATTTAATGACACTAGAATATTCAACAAAAACACTTAAGGCATTGATGACCGCAAAAACATTATCACACCACAATAAAATACATTAAACACGGTCTTAATGTGCAATTGTTATAGAACTGTCCATATAAATCTCGGTTCGTTCATATTCATGGTCCTGCTCATACAAGCCGACGTACTTAAGGGCCATAACTGCGCACTATTATAGCTACATTACACTAACCGTAACTCATAATGGGATCAATTTATATTCTCATAACACCTTGGATGTTAATTAGCAAGGCAACTAACGTAGTACACTTCCTGCCTTAATTGATACTGTGTTAGTGATTATAAGCCTATGAATTGTTTGTTAGTATGGTCGTTACGCACACAATTGGAAACATTAGGTTTATTTCAGTTCGAGAGACGATCTCCGGCTACCGTAAGCGCGGGTCTGCGGACGGAGCAAGGGTAACTCGCCGTTCGACCAGAACCAGACCCGAGCATACGGCGCGTAGTCAATAGACCACCACAGACGGGGCCCTATGTAATGGGGCTGATGTTCAGCCGGAGTTGTGGGCAAGCGCAATGAGGCACGACAGTCTCGGCCCAGAGCAAGAGAAAGAAGGGGCGTTTTAGTCGGCTTACCCTGGGCGGGACAAGCCAGTTGATGATTTTCTTCGTTTTTTTAGTTTAAAAAAAAAGGTTCAGTCCAGTTTGGATACTATCGAGCTGTAAATTAAAACGCGTTACAAATCGTAAATTTTAATCCCATTACTTCGTACACTATGCCCTATGCCTAAATGACCCATTTTTTTTCTTAACACGATAAACTCACAAGTTCCATATCGTTGAGGGATTCACGTTACAGAAAAGACAATAAAACTTGATTCCTTCAATTTCTACGAAAGAAACTCAATATTCTTCAATAGTTGCTCCTTAGAAATGCTTGAGAAATAAGGTACAATATTCAATACGTAATATCGTCTAAATCAGCGAAAAATTAGGCATAGGTTCTCATATTATTATACAATAAAACTTCCCACTTTTAACCAGTATATATGTATGTATACCTACCTCTCCATTAGTTCCATGCATTTTCTAATTAAACGTTGCCCCACACTAGGAGTTTCTCCTGTGTATTGGGTGCCTTTACAAACATACACTTTCACAATCAATAAGGGGTAAATCCATATTGTCATGTCAATACATGTTAAGGGTGGGAGAGCCATGCTTCGGCACCAATGACTCGGCTGGACCAGACTGATACCACGGCCTCACAGGAAACCGGCGAGAAACAACCACAGCGTTGTGTTTTGCCGTGAGTGAGATTACCGGAGGCCCTATCCTTTCCCTTCCCCAATCCTTCCCCAGTACCTAAATCTCCTATACTTTAGTCCCCAAGAACGGCAACGTACCTCCGTTCTTACGGGTGTCCTTGGGCGACGCTGGTTAGCCTTATGGTTTGTCGTCTTATCACATAAAAAAACTATTTGTACTGTGCAAAATTCTTGGACCTATTGCTAAGACTTAGAAGAACTGAAAATCCCCCCTTGCTCGGTATTACAGTAGCCATGCTTCTGACCATTCATCCAACAAGACAGTAATTTTTATTACTTTAGTATTATTATCTTGGAAGTCTCCACAAATCGTAAGGAGAACTCGTTAATGGTCACGTCGATAGATAGGGATTCTAGAGCTATTTCCCGCTAAGACTTCGGACTTTCCACGTTATTGCCGCCTTGACCTACTTGTTGTTAGTTTTATTTGACTCCACTGTACATAAGTTTATGGAGAAAAAAAATTACTCAGTGAAAAATACAGTCTTAATGTCTATTAATTTGAAAGAGTTAGTTGTGAAATTATATTAAAATTTCCCGTTTCAAGCGCAAATAATATCTAGTTATTCAAAATTCACGAAAATTCAAGTTAGTAACACAATTTGGAACTGTACCTACACACATTTTATTGAAATTAACGACTAACTCAGGTGAAAAACCCGGAAATCTCTGCTATTATGTCATAATGTAAAAATATTATTATTATTTTATCCTAATTATTGTTCATGCCAAATAAATTATTTTTCTTCCTTTCTAAAGGCACTCTTATTATCAGCGTGAAGCGGCTTTGCCGTGTAGCCGACTATATCTAACTTCTTTATTAACGTACAGTTCTAAATACATACAAGTATAAAAAGCAATACGTTGTTGAACAGTAAGTTCACTTCAGGAACTCGACCAGAACCAGACCCAAGAGCACGGCGCGTAGCGTTCCACGCGCACCTCAAAGAGCCAATGGGTCACAACAGACAGGATGTTTAGCCGAGGTTGCGGGGTAAGCGCAATGAGGCACCGCGGCTTCGGCCTAGAGCAGGAGAAGGAACGGAGGGGTTTTAATCAGTAAGAGTCTCACTCACACTCTCTCTCGCCTTACCCTGGGCGGGAGAATTAATTTGATGAGTTTCTCCTGACAAAAAGAAACCGCTATAATGTGCCGTATTACCGCTCGAAGCAAGAGAGATTCCACCATCAAAAAATGGTATTCATCATCATCATCAGCCTATAAGTGTCCACTGCTGAGCAAAGGCCTCTTCTCATACGGAGTAGGTTAGAGCATTAATCACCACGCTTCCTCAAGGCGGGTTGGCGATTCCAAATTTCCAGGTTTCCTCATGATGTTTACCTTCACCGTTCAAAAAAGGTATACCTTTATCGAAATAATAGACATTATAATACATGTGTGTTCTGGCGTTCACAACAATACTCTAAGAAAATCATTAACAACTTTTTCTAAAGAGTACAATCAAATACAACTTGAATAAATGCTGATTCATGATATCGATTTTGTTCTATCATTGGTCAGTTTATTTATTGAATGACTTGGCAATAGTGTGACTTTATAATGACATTATGCCCTACTAATATTGATAATGATTAAACAAGTACCTAGCTTGCCTGACAGACAGACTGACGGACAATTCGAGGTATGATATTACAATAGTGCCTGTTTTACGATTAATTGAAATAAATGCTTGGCATTGACGTGGACTATTTCATTGGCTTGTCAGCCAATAACTGCGGTTGTGAGTTCTCTAGTTTTGGAAGTATTATTCCGAATCAGAAATTATTTGCTGATTTCAATATGATAGCTGTTTATAATAATCATTATCAACATTCAGTAAGAGTCGATTTTTGAATAATGGCTCCTCTACAATAGATGGCGCTTGCCACAATTCCTGCGTTTGTCAATAAGGTTGGAGGTCGCAGTTTAAAAGTTAGAATTATAATATACTATTTCTGCCTCGTGATTCACCCGGATAGTTGATACGCCTATGTGCGAGGGTAGCGTACCACCATCTTCTATATAAACTTTCCTTAGTATTAAAAAACTTTTTGCATCCACTATGATGAATACTGTTCTCAATACAATAGTTTATACCTTATTTTAATTTAATTTTATTTATATATAATAAATGAACACTTATTTACGCGCAATAACAATTTGTGTTTTTTTTTAATTTGTCGCCAAAGGAAGAGACGGCAGTACGAATACATTGCCGGCCTATTAGGGATAAGGTTTCGGATATTTAATGATTGGAGAGATATGGATTGGTGGGTGTTGTTATTCAAAAGTTAGTATACCTATAAATAAAAAAGAACATCCAATTAGACCCCGTCACTGCCGTAAAACTTGAGCACCTTTTATGCTTGTGTTCTAAGTAAAACCACATAAAAATCACTAGTGTATGAAATTTTACGTTAATTAATTCATTTAGGTACAGTTTTTATGATAATATCTACCAGACGTATATTATAATATATTGATACAAAAAAGGTACACTTAGTAACGTAAAGCGCATGTTTTTTGTACGCGTTTTTTTTAAATATTATATATTAATTCCTCATCTTAATTATGATTGGGTACAGGTCGATTTGAATTTTGAATTATGAATATTGAAAATTCGATTTTATAGTATCAAAAAAATCAATCAATCCAGTATCCTAATTCTATTTTTTAAGTTGACTATCCAAATTTTAAATACCTATTCATAATTTGTCGTTAAGTTACTACTTAGTACTTAGTGGTTATTCTAGAAAAATATAAATTTAATATTATTGTATTAAGTATCCGAATAACATATAAAAAATAAATGAAAAGCTGTATATCTACAACTATACATTAATTATTATCATCACAATATTGACGATAAATTATAACATACATATTGTTAACTAAATATAATTATTACGTTAAAATGTATATAGGAAAATAGTTAGTAAAGAAGATAAAGCAAAAAGTATAATAAACCAAAGCAACACAAGTAAAACCGCTACAATAAACGCGCGTCTATTGATCGCGAGAGATCGCGTAAAACAATCTTCATCTTAAGTTTAATGTAAGCTGTTCACCAAAAACTTGTTACAAAAATATCCAAGAATCAAAGTCGAATTCTATTTTTAGATTTCGAGGTGTGTGGAGTCATGGCCGTCTTTGAGTCATTTGACGGTCAATTGTAGACATTTAAGACTTTTTTACGTACCCCGTTTGTTATTCAAGTTGTAAAAAATATGGCTTATCTTTTAAAGTTTGTATTCATATACATTTTATGGTAGACGTAAAAATGTATGCTTTAAGATTTTATTTGTTTCTTTGTGAAAATTTGGACCATAAGCTCTGTTGCTTTTAGTGTAACTTATCTTGAAACTGGTCAGTATAGATCTTTCCCTCACCAATATTATTCAGACGAAGGAACGGGATGCTTTTTTTCAGTAAAAGTCTGACACTCCCTCTCCCCTCACCCCTGGAGAGAAAAGTCATTTGATGATTTTTCCCCCTCAAAAAAAAAACAGCCGTTTTAGTATCATAGAACTTACTTCTATAAGATTTTCTGCTTCATTTGTATCATCTAACGATAAATCATTAAAAAAGAAATAAGTAATCGTCATATTAAAGTTGCTTTCTGTCTCTATATTCCTAAGTACGCTTAAATCTTTAAAACTACGAAACGGATTTTGATGAGATTTTTTAACTAGATAGAGGGATTGAGGAAGAAGGTGATATGTTTTATAACACGCATTAAATAGTGGAGACATTTAGTGTCAGTATTGCATCCATGCTCCCATGCGTATCCGGGGCTGGTCGCTAGTTTTTTTGTATGGAATTTGACGCAAACGATTTTACAATATATGACGATATTTTTGCGGACTTTAAATAATTAAAAGTGTTCAGTATTATTCTCTATATTCTTATTTTTCTTACCAACTGAACACATTATTCGAACTTTTTAAATTCCTACTATCAAACGTGGGTGAAGGTTGCCAGTTGCGAATACCATTCAATTCCCTTTTGACACGAACTCGATCGCTTTCTTACAGAAAAGTAAATGTTATATTATTACAAACAAATCTGTATTCACTGTACGTACGTTTCCTGGAGCCAAGGAAAATGCAATTGTCAGGCGCTCTTGAAATAAAAATACTAGGAATTGATAGGGAGTCGATACTTTACATTGTTTATTGTAGATACTTGCTTACAGGAGTTGCAGTGGTTTTGAGAAATTATGGAAAAAAGGGTAAAAAATATCAGCCTATAAGTATTCATTGCTAAGCAAGGGCTTCTTACACGGAGATCGTTTGAGCATTAATCACCACGTCTGCTCAAGCTGGTTCATCTATTTAAAACTTATAATAAAAAAATATATGTCTAGGTTTTCTAGCGATGTTTTCCTTCACAGTAGGTTAGTGATGTCTAAATCATCATAGAAAGTACATAAAACTCGGAATAAGTCACATTCGTACTTGACAGGTTTCGAACCCGTACTCTTATGTATTAGAAGCGGGCGCCTTAACCTCCGGGCCCCCCGAAGTACCGTAACCTCCTGGCCCCCTGAAGCACCGTAACCTCGGCCCAGAGAAGGAGAAGGAACGGAGCAATTTTAGTCAGCAAGAGTCTGACACTCCCTCCCTACCCTGGGCGGGAGAAGTCATTTGATGATTTTCCCCTCTCAAAAAAAAACCTTTGGGTTTCTGCTCCCCCCCCTCATAGTAGTTTGTCTAACAAAGGCGTTTGTTTAAAAGGACGCTTTTTACTGGTATACTAGCACATAATTATAAATCTGCTTGTAATAGTAGAACTAATCTAATTAATAGGGTCAACCCTAATTAATAGGTTAGCGTAAATAGTAATTAGGCCTTGTCTGACTAATGATATAGGCTAAGTTTGACTACAAGCGCAAGAACAGATAAAAAAATCAAATTTAAGAATGTAAAAAGATAAAAAATATGCACTACAATAAGTATTTTGTTTTAATATAAATCTGAATCTTAATATGGTTTATATTACAGCTTTCTTTTTTCAAATGTTAAAAATTAAATAAAAACAAAACATACATATAATCTTCAAATAAGAGTTCTTTTTTCTCAACGTTGTTTTTTAAAATAATAAAATAAATAATTCAAAAGATAAATCATTAGCTTTGTGACTTGTAAAGTTTTTTTAATTTTTTCTACAACTACAAATCTTAGGAGAAAAAAATGTAGATAAAATTTGTAAAGGATTAAAGAATTCTTAAACACAATATTATTGAGCATAATATGGACTCAATATAAGAAAATAATGTGTATTTGAAGTGTTGTTTGGCATTTGCGATGTCTACTCTGATAAATAATTAATTAAACTATTTATTACTCTATTTCCAGAAATAAACTTTTAGGGATCAATGGCATCTGTTGGTGCGACAGGCAACAGGTAGCAATCGAAATCATCAGAGCCGCGTCTGAGACCCTGTCATATATTTATATAACGGCGTATAAGTGAAGTTTGTACAAGTAGTGGAGAATTTATTTATCTAATTAAATTTAATATTATTTTTTAAAATTTTACCTTATTCTATTTTTTTCATATTGCGTATGGGAACAATTAAGAGCGGGTAACACCGAATGGGTTTATGTCAGTTGTCTTACGGGCAAGTGATGAGGAATGGGACAGAGTTGTTGATGGGTTGCCCGTAGAAACCAACACAACTCCATCAGCTCTTGTAATTTGAAAATAATATTATTTTAGCTTCATTCTTAGCGTTGATTATTGCTAATATCCACCATGAATACCAGCGAACTACCTAAAGAACAAGGGAATACAACCCGGCCTCCCGATTCTCCGACATATATAAAATATAAGAATTGGTCTTAAACACTTTACAAGTCACAAAGACTTGTAAAGTTTTTTAATAATTTCTACAAATCTTACAAATCTTAGGAGAAAAAATGTAGATGTATATAAAATATAAGAATTGGTCTTAATCATCGAATTATATTAATTATCCAATTTATGATATGCAGAGGTGTCGTTTTGAGTAAAAAAGAAACGTAGGCTTAATTACTCACGTGAATGAACTAAGAAAATCTCTACTACGAATAGTTTCAAGTCACAGGGGGATTCTTATTCATGAGAAGCGCGCGCGTCGCGCATCCATTGCTATTCAAAAAAAAGGTCCTTCTCCTTACAAGTTCTGCAGTCACAGTTCTTATGTGTTTCAAAGACGGTTTGATTATTTTTTAATAAATATATCTATTCTATTCCACCATCCCTCCATGATCGAAGTCAATGGATAATCTTTCTCAATAAATTCCATTAAAATAGTAGGTTATTAGCAGCTTTAGTGATTAATATAGACATGATAGCCATTATTTTAATTCTTTATAGATAGTCTTTGCCATATACAGCGTAGATTGGCTTGATGCAGGAAATAATGAAGGCCACGTGCGATAGAAGTTATTTTTAGATACACCTAAACTGGAATAAATGTATGGTGTTAAAAACGTCTGAGAATAAAGCTAAGATCAGTTTGATAAAAATGATTGGTTATTGATTACTTCCGACAGCATGCTGTTAAATTAAAATACATACAAAAAAATCTTTAAACTTTATTTGGGTAACAGACCAAAATGTTTAGTAACACTTTTTTTATTTAAATATAAATATATTTGCTTCATTTGACTTTCCTAGGCTTTTAAACCCAACTTTTTTATACAAATAAATACTCGTATCTATACTTCTATACTTATATTATAAAGAGGTAAAATTTGTATGTAGGGGGTAATCTTTGGAACTGCTGGTTGGATTTCCAAAATTCTTTCACTGATAGATAGCTACAATGTTTCTGAGTGGTATAGGCTATACAACATCATTCTACAATCAAATGGAGCCGTGCAGCGGGTAAATCCGTGCGAGAATAGCTAGTATTAAATATATAAATAATTATTTTAAAAACCCAATTTAAGAAAATTTCATAATACACTACAACAGCACAGCCTCAAATTATAAGAAGCTAATAAACAAGAAGTACATCATGTTTTACATTAAAACAATAGTTAAATATACAAAAACAAATTGTTCTCTTTATAAATAATTCATGAAACTTTATCCCTTAGCTGTAGTAATTATAAAGGCAGTTAGGAGCAAACAATGTTGATAGTTTTGTTACAATTATCCCGGGATAGCTTTTGAAGTCAGATAACAATAGTTATCTGACTTCAAAATGTATCTGACTTATATACTTGTTATTTTGATTGTAAAACGTTACGTTGCTTATATGTAATTTCTGTGTGATGTTCTGTAGTCCTACCCAAAGGGTAAAACGAGAACCCTATTAGTAAGACTCTACTGTCCGTCCGTTCGTCTGTCTGTCTGTTACTGGCCTGTATTTAATTAACCGTGAAAGCTAGACAGTTGAGGATACATGATGTATATTCGTTGCCACTATAACAACAAAATATATAAAAGCGTTTCACTATTACTGTTTTAGAATGGTATACTTCCCCTTTTTTTGTCAGGGGAAAATCATTAAATGACTTCTCCCGCCCAGGGTAAGGCGAAAGACAGTGTCAGACTCTTACTGACTAAAAACCACCCCGTTCCTTCTCCTGCTCTGGGCCGAGGCTGCGGTGACTCAATACTTCCACTTACCTATCCTCTCGAATCCCTAAATATACAAAACCCTATTCCCCAAACTACCACAACGCACTCGTAATAAAGAATTTGAATTTGGAATTCAACTCCATTGGTGTTGCGGGTTTCCGTGGACGGCGCTGATTGCTTAAAATCGGGTGGCTTAATATTCATATACATTCTGTTCAATAAGAAAAATTGTTATGTAACGAAAAACAAAACATAATTTTGACTCTGAATCTACACTTTTCTCTTTTTACATTATATAAGTATGTATGTATAGTGTAAGTAATCTGATGGTTTTCCTTCGTGACATTCTTGTGATTTGATTGGCTAAAGATTCAACGAAAAACTTTTAGGAAAAACATTCTTGAAGTTTAGCCTACGTTTTCTGGTCGTGTTAACATAACCTTTACAAATAGAATAGAATAAAAAAATACTAAAACTTTTTTCGTAAATAGTAAAAGTTCGGGCGAATTTTGTTGTCTCTCTCGAACCACTAAGCAATTTGCATAAAAAATAGTCGTTTATACGATTTTTTCTTTGATAACAACATTGTTTTTTGTTGGAGAAAAAAATTGTTTTTATTGAACGCAACCTTCAAGATCAAAGGTTATAATATGTGTGTATGTATAATATTAAAATTAGACAATATTTACCTTATATTTATTGAAAATGTTGTTGTTAGGTTTTTATTTCTTTTCTTTACCAAAATAACCGATTCTTGAAAAATTTATTATCTAAATATTTCCCCAATGTTATGATAACCATAACTGACATAGGTGTCGTAGGTAGGTGGTGTGTAGGGCCCCATTTTTTTAAATTCAATAATGGTGAACTAAATTTCTAGTTTAGTAGCTTTCTATAAACCTGTATCCATTTCAATCTACCTACATTTTTCATATATTAAATGTTGCATAACATATTTAATTTTAATGTTTCCTGAATCCCTATTCACCGTCGTGTTTTTTTGTTTATTGGTCGTTACCAACGAAAAATAATATGTTTCTCTCTATGTAAACAATATTTTAAGTTTTAATATTTAACTAATCAAAGTTTTTACAAAAAATAAAACAATCCACGTACGTAAAAGACATGCCATAGACTGTCTGATTTATACTACTAGTTTAAATATTTATTTTCAACTAAGCAAACGAACATCGCATTCAATATAAATAAATAACATTAATTCGACAGCCAACAAATCGCCAAAATGCAGTGCGTGAAATAATTGGAAAAATGATAAATTTTTGAAATAAAATGTTAGAGGAGATCGTTCATACGATTCTCCCGAGCACAAGGACGCTGAGGTGTAAAAAGAAACCTTATGAAAATCCAGCAAACTACAGAAAAGAAGGAAACAGAAATAAAGATGTTAATCATTTTGGAGAACTCGGTGTATCTGTGGACAATGCTAAAACACACGCGTTTAAAATACCCCGATTCAAAATGCCAATGTTAATGTCATTCCTCATTTTCTATGTATGTGTATTAAATGTGATAATCTCGTGTGATGTTAGTATTAATAATGTAAATATCAAAGAGAGAAAAGAGGGTTTGTATCAACGTGAAGCTATTAGAGAAAAACCCAAGTACTGGTATGGATACAGGCATGATGGCCATGAAGGTTATGGGAAAAATCTTCGTAAAAGTCGAGCTTCGACTAAAAGACAGACTGATAACGGCAAACCAGAGAAGTACCCAGAAGCTCAAGAATTTTTAAAGTATGATGATTACATTAAGGATAAAAATGACGTACCCAACGCAACAGACTATCCGACTTATTTTCATATGGGTAACTACTACATTCGCGACGACTCACAAGCTGTGGGTCATCCGCACGATCTCGCATCCCATCCGTATTTTGTAAAAAATATACAATTCAACTTAAGACCAGAAAGACATCAATTTTCGGAGAAAATTGTAAAACTTGGAATTTTGTTACCCGCTGATGAAAACCAAGTTTTTTCTCTTGGAAAAGTTTTGCCCATCATAGAGATGGCAATACCAGCTGTTACGGGAAGTGATGGTCCTTTACCAGGTTGGACCATCTTAGTTGACTACAGAGACACAAGATGTTCTTCAGTTGAAGGACCTTTAGCTGCTTTTGAATTTTACGTCCATCAAGCCGCTGGTAAGCTTTCATTCATATTATGACATTAATTAACTAGAGGTGTTGGTTATAAAATAAAATATTTTTGGTATTTTGGCGTTGCATTCATATTCCATAGCTCTGAATATTTTCATGACGGTCTTTGAGGTCGGAGATATGAAGTATCAATGTATATTTCAGATGCGTTTATCGGTCCTGGTTGTGAGTACGTCATCGCACCAGTGGCGAGGTACGCTGGACCTTGGGGCATTCCAGTCCTGACCGCTGGGGCGCAGGCCGAAGCTTTTGGGTACAAAGAACCCAGTTACAGCACCTTAACCAGAATGATGGGAAGCTACACACAAGCCGCCGTCGCGATCCGCAAAGTTTTTGAGGTAAATTCCTGGGAATTACGTATAAATGTTGTAAATGTAAAATATTTGTCTTTTTACGTGAGACGTTTTATTTTTCGTTTGCGTATTTTTTTATATGCTTTGTCGTTAATTTTATCGTTTTGTCAATGTCTGTGTCTTGCTTTTTTCTTTGATAAGGTTCAATATCACTAAGAGATCAAAAACTGTTGGCAAACTAGCTTTGGACAAAAACAAGTATCAAAAAAGTGATTACCTTTTTATTCATTCAAAACAACAGGCAAACGTTATTATTGCCTTGTTTAAAGAAACAAATAAAACAAAAGACGAAATTTGAGAACTCCCAAAGAAGTCCATTAGTAATTTAAAATACAATTCGTATTACATAATCGTTACTCGCGGCCTGAATAGTAATTTAAGATTTAAATAAACTCATAAAAATTCTAAACTCGTCGTAAATAAGTCAAATGCTAACTACATTGAGCAAGTATTTGAACAATTACAATTAAAAATAGAATGTTTTACAAAAGTAATTAAATATGGTGGGAAGCCAACATTTTACAAACCTGGTTTTGTGGCTTTTATTTTGTGCTAATAAACCTGATCACATAAATAGTAAAAGTATTGAATATGACATGTTTGCTTCAGAAATTTGGAATTTCTTCTAGTATATATTCTTAACGATATTATTCCCAACAGCAAGTAATATACCTACTAGTTATTGTCAATATCTAACTATTGAGAGTTTTACAGTTGATGAATTCAATACCGCATTATTTGACCTACTCATACTCCGTCTTACTAAATAAATCAGCTAGGTAGCGTATTTTATTATTGGAATACAAAATAAATTGTGTTAATAATTTCACATTTTTGAACTTTCCTTGCCGAATAGAAACTGAATTTCATAAAATATTTTAATTTAATCTCAAATCTTTACAAACCACCCTAATTTTCTAGAAAATTCGAGAGAATTTCTTCGTGTTCTGTACGTAAGAAGTGGTTCGCTGTATAGCTCTTTACAAATTGCGTTGTCACTAGCACTTCCACTCTGCATGAGACCGCCAAGTAAAACTACAAGACGGAAATATTCGCTCGTCCTGACATTGCATTTAAATGCTAGTATTTTAACATGGATTTTAAGTATTGGTACTTAAAATTGTAGTTCTTAGTATTAGTCCAGTAGCATACAGAATGGACATGTTGTTTTTCTTGAAACATCATTTAATATTGAGTGTTCTAAGATAATTAACATTATTTTCGCATTCGATAACGATGATAAAGTTTGTAGATACCATGTGGGATTTAGCATTCTCTTAAAAATTTCTTCATACAAAGTGCATTTACACTATCATACGAATATCGTATTGCGCAACTAGTGTATGATAGAAACGAATTCGTGTCTGTGTGATTGTGCATCTGATTCATAATATACAGCTATGAATAAAAAAACAATTACCAAAAATGAAAGTGACTCAACCATAAATAGCCACATTACTCGCTGACAGCTACACTTTTCGCGCTTCTATTTAGGTACCTATACAAAGTTCAAAGCGGAGAAATCGTACATACTTTGAGTACGCATAACATTCAGTGTTGAAATCGGTTGGAATCCTGCCCAATTTAAATGGAAAGCAATTGCAAAGATAGTACGATTACACAGAAACCAAGGATTTAAAACATAGACACAGATTCACACAAGGCCACGAGAAGAAATGAAAAATTTGGATTTTTAAAGTTTCTAATCCTAGCTTGGGCAGCAATATACTCTGTTAAACCTGAATATTAAACAGCGATACCCAATCGGTTTTCCAACGGAGGTGATAGTCCAACTGTAAATATTGATGAGATGGTGTTGCTTTGATATAGTACCTAAAATGCTCCAAAAAGTCTGTGTCCAAATCGGTCAACCTCAAAGTCTCTTAGTAGCGTCATCAAAAAATCGTAAAGGCCTACATCATTTCTGTCGATAAAGACGTAACATCTTTATCAAAAGGCTGATACGTGATTAGACTTTTTATAGCTAGGTCTACTTTATGGCCTGCTCTGACCTAAGCATATATTCCATATTTGGATAATATTTCAATTTTCTTTTCTTGTCCTCTTTTTTGTATGACTTACCAAACATTATATTAATAGTGGAATGCATCAAAATCTTTTAAGACACAACCTAAATAAGCTAAAAAAAGACAATAATATGAGAAAATATTTCTTTAGTTGGGATTTTTTGTCATCAACACTATGATAAAGTATAAAAGTTAGGTTTATTTTCGTCTATCTCGTTCCTATTATTAGTCTTTGTAAATTAGTGGTAAAAAACTAAAATGAAGATTTAAGTCGTAATATTATTATACAGATTTTTATCAGTCAGTAACACGTGGAAAATTTCTGGTCCATGTAAACAACCCACTTTTGTTGCTATAAATGTAGCAACAATACTATGCGCATATTAAAAACATTCATTTTTAATCTGTTCATAATTTGAATGAAGTTTTTAGTCATCTAAGTATTGCATAACCTAGACACAAAATCATTATAAAAACAATCACACTTTTAGCGGGAGCTAAAAAACAGTGACGCGTTCTTAGCCAATGGAATATGGCAATGAAGTCTGGTCCATCAATCACTATCATAATACACGAGAAGTTCAAGTCTGACCATAATTATAATGTTGGTCCTTACTATGACAGCTTAACCTACTGGAAGCGACCTGTATAATGTCCTGTCTAGCTATTAATATAAGGTTTTTATTACTACGTACTAAAAAAAAAATTAATAATTTTAAATGACTTCAGTTTCTGCCAGCAGCTAGATTACAAAATACACCATTTTACTTAAGAGTACAATCTACATATGTCCCAAATTTCGTTCAATTCTATTCAGTAGTTTTAGCATGAATGTAAAACACGAAACATACATACTTACAGACATTCACAAAGTTGTTATATAATTCATCAAACCCTAAGCGAACGCCGTTCGCGTATCTAACGTTCTTCTATTATTGCGTCTTGAATTACCTCGATTACGATTACAACGAATGGTTAAAAATATTTAAAGGTTTTCATACCATAATAAATACTTTACTTCTAAAATTTACTTTGTGCATCACAATTTGAAAATACACTAATTATTTAATCTCTCATTTCATACATTATTGAAGTATAGCAAGACAAAAAACTTGGATTGAATACCTTATACTCATAATCGTCTTAAACAATTAAGCCTTTTTATGCACACGTAGAAATATAAAAGCCATACCAAATGCAACCGAACACGTCTAGTTCTAACTGGCTAAAACTGGTTGATTCTGCATTATGGCTGGCAGTCGAAAAACTCATAAATATTATCATTCTGTTTGCAAAATAAAAAGTTATACCTACCTACATTATATTTAAATGCGTTGTTGTTTACCATAGAGGCGAATATTTTAACTGCTTTGTTCATCGTGTAGTATATTACAAATGAGAGGTCTTAGGTTCAAATATTAGGCCTGAAAAGAGTTATGCGAAATGTAAATTCAAAATAAATACGTGGTTGTGGAAAACTGATGAATGATCGGCTTTACTTAGAATAAATCGTATGTGTGGTATCAAAGGCATTTTTGTTTGGTGTTTAATTATTTTATTCTATTTTTCTGGTTTTATTTGCATATAAATCTGTGTCTGTTACAGCTTTAATTTTTTTGTAATGTTTTATTTTTTAAATGTAGAAAACAACTTTATTTAGTGTTATAAAATAAAATGCTTATTCTGTGATCTGTCTTTTGTTTTTTATTTCTTTTTGTAAATATTTTTATGGTATTCTGTTTTGGATTGATAGATTTAAGTAGTCTTAAAAAATGACATCCCAAACTTGACGCATTAAGAGGGCAATGTCATCGAACAATAAAAAACTGGATTTTTATCATATTTGAAAAGAGAATGCTTGTATTTTTCGTTTAAAAAGGTTTATCTATAATATATTTTTTGTATTGTTGCAGGAGTTTAAATGGCGTCGCCTGAGCATGTTTTACCACAACTATGATCCAGCTTCGGGGAAAGGGAACAGCCCTTGTTTCATGACCTTAAGCGCGGTGGTCACTGTTCTTAAGAAGAACAATAAAGGAGATAATATAGCAACTACCATACCTTTCGATGAAAACAACATTACTACCACAAAGATAAAAGAATTACTACAAAAGTTATCGAAACACAGCAGAAGTAAGTATCGGAAAATTACCTAAAACTAACCCAAAAAAAAACAAAAATTGAAAAGTAATTGTCTAACCCAAAAAAAAAATGGAAAAGTATCTAATTGTGAATAAAAGTAAACGTGTTGCGAAAATATTTGAATTGATTTTTTTTAAGAATTTCTTTTTTTTGTCCAATTAAATTTAAATTTGGTGATGGGGTATTAATTCGTATTCTAAAATGTGATTAAGGTAAGTTGTGTCTTAAAGATAATAAAAACTAAGATGTCTTAATTTAAGGTTTGGACGTTTTTCAACTCTTTTATTAACTTTAGTGGCTGGTTGTAAAAGACATAATGTCATTAAATAGAAACCTGGCAGTTAAAAAAAACATTGCATAGGGAAAACGGTTTTCATACGAGAAGAAAAAAATATGAAACATGTTTTTTGACATTATTTTGTTTCCTTATAAGAATAATAATATCAAAAGTATTATATAACACTAAATTAGAGATGATCCAGTTCATTTTCATTCCAGGTAGGTATTTGCAAACGTTTGGTAGTAAATGTAATCCTCTTACTATCGGGTATACCCAAGGGTCTTCGGGTATTAGGCTGACCGCATAGGCGACTACTAAACGGTAATACAAATTGTCAATTCTGAATAGTTGTACGTATCGGATACATTTTGATGTAAAACGTAATTTGTATAAACTATGGCCCATTTTGGATTATCGGTAATCTTCATTGACGTGGTAAAAGAGACGCTGCTGGTCATAATTTTTTTTTATGTAATAGTCCGGCAAATGAGCAGACGGATTACCTGATGGTAAGCAGTCAGCGCCGCCCATGGACACCCGCAACGGAGGAGTCACGAGTGCGTTGCCGACCTTTTAGGGAATAGGGATTTGGAGATTTAGGGATTGGGGGAGGGGTAGGATTTGGCCTCCAGTAACTTACTCACAAGGCGAAACACAATGCTATGGTTGTTTCACGCCGGTTTTCTGTGAGGCCATGGTATCACTCCGGTGAGCCGACCCATTCATTCCGAAGCATGGCTTTCTCCCACTTTTTGATTTATTCTGTCAAGCAAATAAACATTTGGAATCAGGGAATATTACCAAATTTATGGTTTATAATGTGATGATGGTGATAAGATTAGTCCTTATTGTTACGTAAAAGGTGCAAAAGCAGTAATATACCGCCTCTAGCTTGGAGCAGGAGAAGGAACGGGGTCGTTTTTTACGGGGGGAGGGGGGATGGTCGAGTTAGTCTACAAGAGCTGAAACTTCCTCTCACCACGCCCTGGGCGAGCGAAATAATAATGATGGTTTGCTCCACCTCTCCTTCAAAAAACCAGTAAACAAGAGGTTTAAATGAAATTAAGTTTTGTTGGCCCCCGGCCCTGATTAGGTTAAAAAATGAAGTAGTTTTTAGTCAGTAAGAGTTTAAAAAAAATATACCAGCAAACATATTACTAAGTATGTTTATTTATTTGATTTGTCTTTATTTTAATCTATATTTACAATATGTTTACATAAGCCTAGTTTCGCTTATAGCCTTTTAACCCTAGGATTGACTGGCAGAGAATGCCATACGGCATCAAGTCCGCTTTATGTATCTATTATGTGAACATAAGTATAAATAAATAAATAGATAAACAATCTTACAGTCAGCTTTATATTTGCCTATATACTGAAAGAGCTGACAGTACATGTTGAGTTTCCACACAAAAAGGGTTAATGCTAGAGGCTACGGTAACAATTAAATGTATATTATGCTAGATATTATTTGAACGGCAGAACTAATTGTGTCTAAGAAATTACAAAGTTCTCTTGTTTATAAGATGTTCAAAAAACATCGTTTATTTCCGTACATTTCAATTTGTCAAATTTGAAATATCAAAAACTATTTTTTTCTATGTTTAATTTCAAATTATTTCTGATACTTAAAATACCTACACAAAAGGAATTAAATTAAAATGCTAATTTTATTTTTAATTTAGTGTCAGTCTTTTACGTCTATTCAAAGAACGTGTTATTTTTTAATATTACAGAGTCAAATAATTTTTGATTTGATAGATCTATGACGTTAAGACTCAGTAAACTACATTTAATCTCCTATTCTTAAATTGAAATTGATTTTGTCTAAATTTTGTTTTCTTAGAAGACATAATAATCATAATATACTAGACAGACTAGATTTTTGTTATTTTCATACCCCGTGGCCGTTGGTCGATTCAAAAGAACACAATTACTTTATTTTAATTCATCAATCACTTTATGTACCTATACTCAGTAGTCGAGATTGATTTTTATTGAACCTATAGTTTGGTCTAAAAATACAATACTTCAATTTCGGAAAATGCCATATACCATCCAGCTTTATCACTAGGACAATAGCAATTACTAAAATACAGTAGATAGAGACACCATTATCTAAAATATCTATCGTCTAACAGATCCCCAAGCTATCAGCTAAGCATGCCCACTATAAACGTTTTTCACCAGTACCATCTCTAAGGTGCAAAGTTGCGAGCCTCCTTTAATCGAAAAAATTCGGAGAATGTTCGGGGAAGCTACAAGCCCTTTCTCTTTCTACCAGCCCACCATCATGCCACCAGGCATTCGGCGAAACGGCATCTATTCATGGTGTTTATCCCACCCACACAAACGAAGCAGTTTGCCTCTAGTTTTGAACCATTTATTTTGCTACACATGTGTACTGTTTATTTTTGTATGTCATTGGAAATAGACAAAAATAAACATTTACAAAAAAAAAATGTGTACTTGCTACACATTATATATATATAAAAAAAAAATATTGTGTGGCAAGAGGTCCATCTCAGTGTAGGTATGCTGTGCTAATGCACAGCACTGATTTTCAAATAATGATTTAAAATCAGAACCGCTAAGGAGTGGATTTTTAAAAGTGTTTTCCCCGAAGGGTTTATGTGTACATGGGTGTATTCAAGACCCAAATGAATAGGTTGGTTATGGATAGGTCGCATTATCGCTAACCACCAGGACAGATAGCTTGTCCATTACCGCGCAAAAAAATATCTCTAGAAAACTAACATCAATTTTATTGTATGTCTTTACCAATCACGGGCCCTCAGGGTCCCGGTCATTTGGGGCCGGAGCCAACTGCGCAGAGGCTCTTTAGACAACTTTAATCTAATTGAAATGGGACACAAACCGGCAACTATCCCTGTATGCACTATGGAATTGCACCCAAGGACAGTCCCCGGTTAGTGTAGGACTATTGCGGATAATGGAAACAAGGGATAAGGCTATGGGCGTGGGTTGTTATGGACTGGTATGATGGGAACTATGGGAGGACTATGGCACCTGCCGAAACAATGTAATGTATTATTATAAACTTCACTTGTTTTGGCAAACAAAACCGTAGATTTAAGTTTTTTGACTTACCATAGCTTCATCTTATTGTGTGATGACCCTTACCTCACCAATCTTCATTTATTCTTGCCACCTGGTTCCCTTATTTGCATCGACACCGGTACAGCTACCCGATATGATACTATTTGAATTTTAAATCTTTCTGGAGCACGTGTATCGTTGGTATGAAGAAGCTCTGACATGCAGTACCTTAAGTTATTTGAATTATAAGTCTATACAACTGTTTATATACATACTGTCAAGTTATATTTAGTACACGTGTTAGAATATAATATCATTTGTTTAATAAAGAGACAGTGAACATTGGTTAATCTACTGAGCGGTTTTAAAATGCACAAATAATTCTTAAATATAATTATCTAAATGATTTTTATTCAAAATGAAATAGCTATTTAAAATTTGAACAATTAAATGTCGTAAAAATAATCCAAGGGAATAGACCTATTTTTTTTAATAACTTTTATTGGTGACTAAAGAGCAAAATTTCTAATTAATATAACTGGTAATAAGTTACTTTATAGCCCAATCTAAATAAATTTCGGATTACGTTTTTATTTTATTCTAAAATGATGAAATATATATATAATAACAAAATGTTAAGGAACAGTCCAAAATGTACTAAATTAAACATCACATGAACGCCAAGATCGACGTATGATTTTGTAAGAAAAGAAAAGTTACGCACCTACTATTAAGAAAATAATGTACGAGAAGACTCATCTTTATTGCTTGTAGTTTTAAAATATTCCCTTAGATGTGTTATTAGTAAAACCTGCTATTAAAATAACATACATTTATTTGGCACCTAGCTATGAAATCGCATATTACACAAATTGTAATCCGTTCAAAAACATATTAACGTTATTTATTACTTTTAACCTGCAAACATATATTAAAATAATTAATCCAGTTCTGCTAAATTTCACATTTATTGCAAGATCTAAAGCGAGGTGAGAAAATAGTGTGCCATTAATTTTCAGCATAATTTATATTTAACATAGTAACACCTAGTCTTGGCAACATGAGCTATGACTAATATGCTCAAAGCAACTCTGCGAAGATAATTTAATAGCAAAATATATATGATATCATGTTAGTATTTATTTATTGGGTTTATCAATTTTATCCTTTGAATATTGGTATATAAGATACAGTAGGAAATACATAGTGTCTTCTGCGTGGCTCCACTTTTAAAACAAACGAAAGGTTAACCCACTTTTTCTTAAATTTGTGTGTTTGTTTAAACACGTTTATCTCAGAAAACACTGTTTCAAATTGAAACAATATATCTGACATTTTATCAAAAATTTCATCTACAGCCTATGAAATTTAAACGTTTCGCTATGACCAATAATACAATCAAAGACTTATAAATGGATGTTTCAAAATGGCAGCATAAATTTCGTTCAGAAGAGCCATCAGATGGAGCTCACCGAAGCTGCGAGCAAAGTGCAATGACACTCCGCGGCCCGGCTTGGAGCAGAAGATGGAGGGCTTTTAATAAACAGTCTGATAATTCCTCTCTCACAATAATATATAGGATGATTCCACTTCCCCAAAATAAAGAAAAATACACTCCGCCTTAACCAGAAATAAAAATCGACACTTTGCAACAATATTCGATTAAGAAGGTTATTAAATAAGTATTTGAATTAACTGGTGGTGATCAATCGACTGCAAAAAATTGCGATAAGTTGAAGATTTGATCGTTGTGGATTCGGGATTGATGATAAGGAAGAAGAGCGGGAAAGATTCAGCCTTACTAAAATGGCGGAAGACACGCCAGTTTTCCGAGAAGCCGTGTTAAGAATCACTCCGGTCTATCTCGCCCAATCGTGCTGAAGTATGGCCTCCCTACCCTATATTGTGATAAATCAAAAATACAATCAAAAATAAACACTTTTGCAACAAATACCATTAATGATGCCACCACATAAGCAATTCTTCATTCTTGCGGCAAAGAGAGCGCCTAATGAAATATGTAAATTAAGTCTCTCAGTAAAGACTGTGTGAGACATTACAAAGTCCTTTAAGGAATATATTAGGTGCAGTATATGTATGATACTTCATAATTCAGTTGGAGCAAACAGAGTTACAATTTATGCTTATAACTGGTTAATGTTTTAATAGTAGGTATTTTAGCGTCAAGTGAGTGTAAATCGTGTTTTTTCTAAGATTTAACGTTTTTTACTTTTTAACAGTAGTTACCTTGTATATTTTAAGTGGGGAAAAGTAACAGTATTCTAAACACACTTTTTTCCTATCCTCTCCATTTTGCATTCTCTTATCCCACTGGACTTGCCTCGATAAAACATAGTGTTTGCTTTTTTCAGTCTCCTAGATTGGCGCTAGAGGTTCTTATCTCATCAACTGCTTAACTTTTCAATTCGAATAGAAAATAAGCTAGTGTCATCCCATTGGACGTAAAAATTTTGACAACAACACTGGATTGGATAAATTTACTTCTTTTGAGATTAACGCCATCTAGCGAAAATGAAAACGGTTACCAAGATGTTATTCTGTTATGTACTTCTTTCTCTTCAAATCATATTTCTAATTCTGGGATAAAGTTATGGTGTAGTACTACATAAATACTACTTGCAATGATAAATTTAACGATTTGTTAACGTTAGGCAGCTACAAATTAAATCTTCTTTGATGTGTTTATACACAGCGTAGTAAAATATAATTGGTTTAATATGAAAGATGGCACGTTGATCCGTGAATTCAAAGGCAAATTATTTATTACCATGTGTAATGACTGTAAAATTAATTATCCAAAATCGTAGCTGATAATTTATTTTTGGACTTTATTAATAGCTTCAGCTCATTATAAGAACATTTCTAATATTAATTTCAAATTAGCATCATGTTTAGTTTGATCTAAAAAGGCTTTTGAGTAAGTGGTTAACATTGAGAAATTCTATTTCAAAACTCTTAGTAATAATGATTAATTTAGGACTAAGACTGAGATTATTTATAACATGTGTTATGCAATTAGATTTATTTTTAATATTCTCTAAAAATAACTCTAATAACTTTTAATAAAAAATGTACTTCCTTACAAACTGACACTCCCTTCCCGTCTGTCACCTGAGTGGGAGATCTTATTGGATGATTTTACACAATGAAAAAAGAAAAACCCTAAACCAGTAAATGCCCTTATACTTCGCTTTATACTGAAAGAGCTGACAGAGTTTCCACACAGGTAGGGTTAATGCAAGCGGTAACGGTAACAATTAAATATAAATTATGCTAGATATTATATTTGGACGCCGAAACTATTTATAAGATGTGTTATGTAATTAAGTTTTTTTATTATCCTCGAAATATAACCTTGTAATTATTATACTTCCAACTTCTTATAAAATATGTATTTCTTTTAAAATGATTTGAACATTTCGAGTAAAATATTAAAGAAATAATTAAAAAAACTGTTTTTTCGTACTACTAGGAGGGTGCAAAAGAAATTATGAAGGTCCAAAAGGTTAAACTGCGTACCCAAGCGTTCGTGTTTATTACTCAGACCTCTAGAAAGCTGTAAATTAAGAAAGAAGGTTGTAACGATTTTATTCATAAAGAAAATTATATCATTTCATAAATGGTAATATTAATGTCATGACAGATTTTTTTTATTTATTTATATTCTAGCGTTCTCACATTATGTTATTTTAACATAGTCTAGACTAGAAAAGAGACTGACCTCTGAGTTTGTTTCGGCATTTCTTCTCCGAGTATTCATATAGAAAATGCCGGCTTCATCTAGTTTTTCAAATATAAATTGACGTTTACAAGTGCCGTTTTATGGCTTATTTGTAAAAATTAATAACATTGTTTCATTGTTTCATTAGCGATCCGCCTCGGCTTTTATTTATTTATTTATCATATATCACAAAGGTAGCCATCTTATGTGCTAAGCCCCACAAAACCGTTGTAATGGTTTGACAGTGGGGTCAGTGAGTATATATCAGCTTGGCCCGGTGCTATGTTGATACTAAACTATCTCCACTATTATATGGATGGTTTTATACTTTTAAGCATGTTCGTGTATGTAGCGTGGACCATCTGTAAAAAGAGATGATAAAATAAATAAACGGCCTATGTTCAGAGTATTATTATCTTACTGTGTAGCGTCGCAAAGGTGTATGCATTCTAAGCATATTTCATGTCTAAGTTTGATGTTTCTATATTCATTTCTAACTTTTTATTGAATTGTTATTAATGTAAACCTTTTTAAATAAGGGATGAGTGAGAGTAAGAGTAAGGGTAAACAAAGAAAATCAGTATGCACTGAACTTAAGCTATCAGGATTTCTATGTGTTACTATGGGCCAACCGTAAAATATAGATAAATGAATTACGAAATAGTTTTGTGTAGAACATTTCTGTAATAAATAATTTCAATGTAACTCTAACAATTATGGCTGCAACACAACGCAAGCTTAAAAATTTGGGTGATTTCTCCCATTTTCCCAACATTTACATTTTCTGCTCTGCTCCTATTAATTGTAGCGTGATGTAAAGAAAAGTATGCTATAACCTGCCCAGGAATATGAACAACAATAATTGTACCAAGTATCGTTAAAATCTGTCGAGTGGTTTTTGTTTCTATGACGAGCATACAGAGAGAAAGGAAAAAAAATTACAGATCGCATTTTTGGCATCAGTTTTGATCACTTATCAACCTCTGATAGTTATTTTGAAAAAATATTTCATGTACAGAATTGACCTCTCTACGGATTTATTATAAGTATAGATTTTGCTGTCTCTTACTTTTATTTAATATAATTTATTTATTTAAAATTCAATATTGGGAGAGTGTTAAGCTAATAATCTGTGCCTCTGTACCTAATTGTTGTATTATTTTTCTTGTCCAACTTACTGTGTGTACCTACATAAATTATTAAATAAATAAATAATCATATTTTTTCGATAATCTAATATAACCGTTTGTTACAGTTGTGGTCGTGTGTGCGAACCCTAGCACAGTTCGTGAGATAATGTTGGCAGCGGACGACTTGAATATGGTGTCATCTGGCGAATACGTGTTCTTTAATATCGAGCTATTTTCTAAGTAAGTATTTGCACTTTATTATTTATTTTTTTTTAGGCAATAACTCCTTACGTCACTCACTCACTGAGAAAAGCTCTACTAGACTATTATTCATGAGCACACTGTTCTCAATGCTTACGTCGTTATCTATACTAATATTATAAAGAGGTAAAATTTGTAAGTTTGTATGTAGGGGGTAATCTTTGGAACCGCTGGTCGGATTTCCAAAATTATTTCACTGATAGATAGTGATAATGTTCTCAGTGCTACAGGCTATTATAAAACATCACGCTAAGATTAAATGGAGCCGAGCAGCGGGTGAAACCGTGCGAGAGAAGCTAGTATTCAATAAATTAAGTGTATCGACAGTGTTTTTAATATTTTGTAAATGAATAAGCGAATACCACACTAAGATTTCCTTCAATTAAGAATGTTCAAGAATCTGATAACCAATAATCACATCAATCTGATTTTAAAGTCTAACTAAGGATATGCTTATGAACAGCGAAGAAACACACAAACTGTAGTAAAGCTATTTGTAACCAAATCAAATGTACTTTTTACAATAATTTGCCAAATTACACTGTGAATGTGTGTGTATGTGTGTACAGTGTGTCGTGTGTGTACTACAACTGACTCGACCGAAGTGAAACCACAACCTCACAGAAAAACCAAAATGTGGATACCAGATGCTCAATCCTTGCTACTCCGCCATCGTCAATCCCCGAAAGTCCATGCAACAAACTCATAACTACAATTTGGTACTGGTTGTGGCCATGGGCGATACAGATTGCTTGACATCAGATGCCAAGCGTGCTCGATTACATCTGGATCGGTATCTGTTTTTGATCTGGTCTGTGTACAGCACTATTGTATGTAGTATTTAGTGTTTGACTGCAGTACCACTCAATAAAAGTAAAATTAGGATTTTACAACCAAAATTGACATCATAATTTTTACAGCCTCGCATCGGCCTCGTCAAAAGAACCGTGGAAAGTGGAAGGTGATACTGACGAGCGAAATGAAAAAGCCAGGAGAGCATACAGTGCTGTGCTTACCGTCACCAGCCCAGCACCGGAGAAGAAAGAGTATCTGGAGTTCTCTGATCAGGTAAGATGACGTCCAAATTTAATTTCATTTTGTTCCTTTAATGGGTTTTTTTTTGGGAGGGGAAAATCATCAAATGACTTCTCCCGCCCAGGGCCGGGCAGGAGGGAGTATCAGACTCTTACTGACTAAAAACCCCCCTGTTCCTTCGCTTGCTCTGTGCCGAGGTCGCGGTGCCTCATTGCGCTTACCCCGCAACCTCCTTTAATGGGTTGGAAAATGAGGTTGGAAGTATACCACTAGACCTATAAGCTAGTATACCTTCGTGTTGTTTTACAAAGTCAACCAAACTCTTATTTAAAGTAATCTAAAAGTAAAGGATCATTGAGTAATATCTCAAATTTAATGAGAACTAGCTGCCGCCCGCGACTTTGTGCACTTTTTATGTTGATAAAAGGCCAGGGTATCACCTTTCTATATAGCAAATTTCGACCGAACTGGTCGAGTCGTTTTTGTGTGACAGAATAAAAAATATACATTCTCACATACTTTCGTAGATAATTACATTTCATATAATAAAGGAGAATTCGAAGGATTAAAAGTAAGTTGAATAGCAGAAAATAAATCCTTTTGGTCGGCAATTACGCTGCAACTATTACTTAATAAAAGATAAAATTCTACATTTCATCCCAAATATACACAACACTGGCATTAAATAACCGACAAAAAATACATATAATTCTTGACAGAAAGTTAATCAAAATGAGACCAGGATTTAATGTTACAATTTATTACGTGGGCAAAGGTCTCAACGCAACGATTATCTTACAGACAGCCTTTGGATGGACTGAAATATATGAAGTAAACATCTAATGAACAGAAGTTGGTTAATGATCCGTTAATAAAATAGATATATGACCCCACATAGTACGCGATGACTTATCAGTTTAATATTTTGTTTTGGTTTAGAATTAAGCCTCTTAGGGTGGAAGAGCGGGGTAAAATAGTTAGACCGGGCCTTATAAGGCTGATTTTCAGCCGGGGTTGCGGGTTAAGCGCAATAAGTCACCGCGGCCTCGGACTAGAGCAGGAGAAGGAACGCGTGGGGGTTTTTAGTCAGTAAGAGTCTGACACTCTCTCTCGCCAAACCCTGGGCTGGAGTAGTCATTTGATGATTTTCCCCTGACAAAAAATAGGGCTAAAATAGTGATTCCCAATTTGTAAAGTAAATTGCAAATCAGGTTTTACACTACCAGCCAAAGTGCGCTCTGCTAAGGCCTCTTCTCAAATGGAGAACTTTCGAGCATTAATCACCATGCAAGTTTGAAGTCAATCCGCCTTGATTTTAAACTTATCGTGAGAAATTATAAGTTGAGGTTTCCTCGCGACATTTTCTTCGTCGTATGTCAGTGGTGTCTAACTAACATTAGAAAGTACATACAACCCGGAAAAAGTCACATTGATGCTTGCCAGGTTTCGGACCCGGATTGTAAGTGCCTTCATGCATAAGAAGCGGTCGACACCATGCAGATTTAAATACATTGGTCTCCTTTTTTAGTAACGCGTACCTACTACTAATAATTTAGAAGTTTTTTATTAAGCTCACTAAGCCATTATTCGTACAGAATGCGTGCGTCTAAAAACATTGATACCTTGAGCTCTGGACGCCATTTTGAGGTACATAGAGATCGCTTTAGCAAAAAGTCCACGCGATGCACACAATTTTTTTTTGTGTTAAGAATATTTGTCTCTTTTAAAGAATAATGATATTTGCTACTGATCGATGCTTATTTCCTACAGGTGAAAGTGTTAGCCGCTACGAAATACAATTACACATTTGGTAAAGGCGAAGTGGTATCTACGTTCGTAGCAGCGTTCTACGACGCAGTGCTCCTCTACGCGCTCGCGCTCAATGACACGCTACGCGATGTTGAAGATCCAAGAGGACCGCTAGATGGCGCTGCAGTTATTAGAAAAATGTGGAACAGGACTTTTCAAGGTAAATATTGATAATTTTTGCCGAAAATTTGATCATTCAGTACAACAATAGTATATATTTCGTTCAAACTGACCGAGTGACTGACAAGACTGCACGTTTGGCGCGTTGGCTGGTTCACCAGCTGCAGGTAAAGCGCAACATGTTGCAGATAGCCACTAATTGTTGTTTGGAGTTCACACTCAAAACAAGTTTATGTGAAATTATATGTTTGTAAACGCACCCATGACATAAGAGAACATCGATCCTAGTGTGGCGACTTACACTAAAATATTTTTTAATAATAATAAAAAAATATGTACTTTAAAGTACCTTTCAAATCTAAAATTGTTCCACTAACCAAGTGTCATCTCACATGTCGTAGACACAAAACCTCGCTTAACCTAAAATATGGAGCGCAACGAAAATGTCATTCTCCAAGAAAGTTTTGCCCCAACTTGTGCGCTACCGTACAAGTTATCTAATGTATGAAACGGCAGTTTGAAATAAAGTAGAACTTGTGTAACAATTAAACGTTCGGATTTCGAAAACTTTTCCATAGTTGTGTGTAAGTAGATATTTTTGCGGTACAGACTTAGGTTATCTAAGACTGTTCTGCAACAATTTTAAAGGCTGTATTTTTATAAGCTTTTATTAACTAGTGATGGATGCACATTTGTAAAGTGGAATTTTGTAACGAAATATTTTTAAAGCAACACATACTTATAATTTCACATACCGTGCCGTGTGAATGAGGCAACCGGAGGCCCAATCCTTCCCCTCCCCAAATTCCTCCCCAATTTCTAAATCTCCCAAATCCCTAATTCCCAAAAGGTCGGCAATGCACTCGTAACTCCTCTGTTGTTGCGGGTGTCCATGAGTGGCGCTGATTGCTTACCATCACGTAATCCGTGCTCGTTTGCTGACCTATTACATAAAAAAACATACACAAGGCACCCAGATATAAAGATTTAAGCATACAAAGCAACTTTGTTTTCTACTATGTAGTGATTAGTTCCTTGTAACAAGAGACAAATCAATTATGTATCGTTTTATATGATGGCATATCAATGCTCGAAATCCGATATTCTCTACCCTAAAGGCATCCACGAGGGGTTTCACGACACGTGTATATGAAACAGGAAAATCTCAAATTTCCAAGAAAGCATAAACTTTATATACAATTATCATTTTATTTTCTGATTTTGTTTTTTTTTATAGGTATTACTGGAGAAGTGGATATCAATTCGAATGGTGATCGCGTGGCTTCCTATTCGCTTCTGGATATGAATCCTAACACGAGCCAGTTTCAGGTTAGTACCTACATAACACCTTTTTTTTCCAGGTTTGCGGGTAAAGCCCAATAAGGTGTTTTTAGCCTTACAAGGTCGACTAACGAGCAGGCGGATTACCTGATGGTAAGCAATCAGCGCCACCCATAGACACCTACTACAATAGAGAAGTTACGAGCGTGTTGCCAACCTTTTGGGGATTAGAATTGGGGTAGCTTAACTTCACTCATACGGCGAAACACAACACTGTGGTAGTTTCACGCTGGTTTTCCATGAGGCCGTGGTATCATTCCAGTCGAACCGACCCATTTGTGACGAAGCGTGGCTCTCCCACACTTAGCATGTAAGTTGGAAAAAAGGCAGATAAAAGGGTCAACGACATCACAATAAACGTTGATTCATATTTTAGATGTAAGGTCATTCGACCAGCACCCTAAAGTTGACAAATAGCCATTTCATATCTCCGCCATGCCATCACGAGTTTATGCGAGTATGTGACTTGTATGTCAAGTAACATAGAAAATCAACAGAAGTTAAGCTCAGTGGTGCGTCTCGCTTGCTAATGAGTACATTCAATGTATTTAAATTTTCCTTTATAAAATAGTTTTATTGGACTAAGGGCTGATTTTTCAATAATCAGATAAATGTCTTTTGAGGAATAAAATTTGTTTTTGTCACTGTCTTATACAAACATTTTGACTCGATAGCATCATAATTATTACCCAGATAACTTTTATCTTACCATTGAAAAATCAACCCTAATTTTACTTGCAGTTAAACACTTTTTTCCCTTCTGCATACTTTGATATGATTTTTCATAAAAAACCTTTAAGTATAGGATAAGACTAAGGCTGTACTGCTCGCTTTTTTTTTAAATAGGAAAATCGGCGACAAGACTAGGCGCGGGCTGTTGCCTGGGCGTAGACAATATTTCACAAAAAATTGCGCGATGTTAAACTTTTTACAACATCGTTGGTGTGTAAGCGCCATCTGCTGGATTTTTCTTGTACTTGTCTTCAATGTGTGTAGCTTGAAATATGTTTTTCATTGCATATTGAGGTTTAAAGTAGTTGAAAAGTACTAGAGTGCATTTTACATTCTACGATTTTATAACATGTCAGCCAATACTGCAAAAAATATTAAAGTCTGAATATCTATTTTAAACACAAGATACAGGATTATGCCTCTTAAACTACTGTTTCATTCCCGCTTTGTATATTAATTTACCGGGAATGTTGGATCGTTGAAGGCACTCGTTGCCAGATTAAACTACAGCGAATTAATTAATTTTGGACATAATGGATACTTTTAAGCACTTGTATATCAAATTTAAAAGTTAAATTGTTGTATTAAATTACTTAAATGTATTCAAGACTGCTTGGTTATCGTAATAGCTGTGTTAAATAATAGCTGCTCCGAAAGTATTCAAATAAATGTTTCTTGATTTAGTAATGATTATCCCGTGTAGTTTAATTATAAACGCACTTTTCCATCCTATTATTTCTCATGCGAGCTGTAAAAATACGAAAATAAATATAGATCTAAGTAATAGGTACTGCACATACATAACATTTAATTTTATAATTCTACTTTTTAATATTTAACTTACAACAACAAAGTATACTATTATTTTTTACAAATGTTATTGTGAACTTAAAAATAATTTTGATCCGACAGACAAATTATGTGTATACTTTCGACGGACATTTTTTACATCGAAAATTCTAAAAATGATTTATTTGATCAATAAATAAAATTAATTTGTCGTAGTCTTTAAAACATAGATATTTTTTGTCATACTTCTCTATGCTGTTGATTAATAATAATTGTCTATACAGGTTGACATTTTGAATGAAGGACATATCCAAAAAGCCTATTCTGGTGCTCAAAAACAAAAACCATTTCCATCATTACAAACATTGTACATAAAAATAATTCCAAGTTTCTCTTAATAATTCTTTAATAATCATTTTAATATTTAATATTTACCTCCTTATAATAATTTCATAATTTTGTTTCCCAAAAATATGAAAATCAAAATTAAAATCAGGTTCGCTTAATAACGGAACCCACGCTCCTTAGTTCCAAGAAGTATTGCTTTCCCTTTTTCATAGAAGGGTTTCTTATTAGGTTCATCGCCCAAGGACCGAAGTTACGTAGTTTTTTTTATTAGATTTATCTTTCTTTAGATTTTGATAAAGCTGATCATCGTGACATCAAAACATGAAAAAGACACAAATAATTGTAATCAAAGTTTGTCTTCGTTTCACTATCTACAAATGTTAAGGTTTTAGCATCGTTTTCAAAAGACCTAGCATTTTACTTTTTGCGTTAAAACAGTACCTATATGAGTATATCACAAATATAACGAGATTTATAGTCTTGATACTCCGTATAAGGTCATTTATACGGCATTGTGTGGACTACCCGCTCACCTCAAACAGCAGGGGTTTTTAGTCAGTAAGAGCCTAATAGGGGCCATAGTATCAACCCCACTCCAATAGAAGTTATTTGATAATTTTCCCCTCACGAAAAAGCATAATAGTTAATGCTATCAAATCTAATACTAACATAAAAGTTTTCAATGTAGAAACCCACCTAACGATACATAACCGTATCTCTACGGTTGACCCTTCATTTCGTTTTCGTAAAGTCAGTTCAGTGTAGCAGGTTTAATTTTAAACAGTTTTGTTAGGGCCATGAAACCGCGCGTTATAAAAAGGGTTTTCGCTTGTGTAAACTTGAGCCGGGATTGTGTTGTGGTTACGTAGAAGCAACTCAGTTAATATAAAGCTCTGTTGAGAAGTAAAAGATTTAGGGATAAAAAATAAGTTGCTTGATGTTCAAAAATGGATCATATAAGTACCTACATAGTTACTTCTTAAAAAGGGTCTAGTTTAAGTTTGTTCTTTTAAAAGAAAAATAGTAGAAAAAAAAAAGCGGCCCACCCCCGCTTCGCAAATTTCCAACTATCTCGCTAACAATGAAAAGATCCCTTTTCCCCAATTATTCCCCTCTACTTTTCTAATATTTTCTCTCTTAAGAACCTTCTCCTGACAGTAATAAATACAAAACAAAAGAATTTAGCAAAATTGGTTAAGCCGTTTTTGAGTTTTGCGCTTACCAACACGTGAATTGGCTTTCGTGCCGAAGCATGGTTCTCTGACACTTATATAAAATCAGTACTTATTAAAGCTGATCGTAGTTATCGCCATTGGTCGTAATTGTACCCACTCGATCATATGAAAACCTATTCAATACATCAAGCTAAAGTGTCTATAATAAAACTTATAGGCAACAAACCCACTTCAATAAAATGAAAGTGTGAGAGCGTTCAGATTTCTCTCAAAGCATTTTTCAAACGGTTCAATATGATTTTGTGATTCGCTAATGCATTCACGGAAAGCTATAAAAATGAGTGGGGTCATATAATCCGTTCTTTGTCGTAAGTAGGTTAAAGTACTGTTTTAATATATATTTCTTCTTTAAAAAATGTAGTATACAAAATCTGTGGATAATAAAGAGGTTCGGAAACCACAACAACTCATCGAGAGTCAAATTCAAGTCGGGCAAAAGTAATTAAGACTTTTTTTGACTTTTTACACATTCTTAGTCATCATATTAAAGTGGCATTGATTGTAAAGTATATTGGTACAAAGGCTACACCTAACTATCGAAATTGGATATCATATTATTTAATGTTTGAGTGCACAATTAACATAGTGGCTGCAGAACAACATTTAATGGAAATCATACGTTTTTGTTTAAAGAAATCGAAAATATAAGTAATATAAAACTCCGCCTTACAGGTCAGGGAACAAAAGATTTTCTCCTGTGTCGTGGGTTTGCAAACATATAATTACACATACACAACGCACCCAGACCCGGAACAACAATTTGTGGATCACACAAAGAGTTGTGCCGTGCAAATTTCGGGAATCGAACCCGCGATACGTTGCGCGGCAGACATTTGCCCAGCCACCGCGTGCAGTCTATCACAAAATAAGAGAAACGATTTAAGTTATATGTCTTTAAATCGTAACTTGCAGAATTAAGCACATCTGTCTGTCTCCCTGAAACGCCACGTCGGATGTAGATTAAATACAGCTTAGCGTGCTTCGTTTAATTCTATCTTGGGTTTCGGCTGTATTTATTAGTCCAATAAGCGTATTTCTGCATTCCTTTCTCAGTAATTTTGTTTTTGTTGCGTAATGAAATTTTGTGTTTTTAATTGCTTTTTGTACTTTTGAGTCCACATTTAGATTCTCCACAAGTTTTGTGTGTGCATTTAAAAACATCAACAATTAATGCACATTATCTGTTCTTTTTTTTATCTCTACATTGTTCTCAAATATTAGTAAAATAATGTGTATTAAATAATGTATTACTAAGTTTTAAACTTTCGCGTTTCATCTTAACAACATTATATTTACGCGGGTATTAACGCGGAAAATTATAATTTGAATACCTTGGTAGGCTTGACGTTTCGACCCGGTTGCACAGGTCGTGGTCACAAGCAGACTGAAGACGCGATGTCACAGCTCCCTGCATTCGGGTGATGAATCTTCATCTATCCCCTTATTTTCATTTTCTACCATATTAGGCCGTCTACACACTACGCTGATTATATCCACAGATGTGTTAACCGACTTTGAAGGAAAGCGAGGTTGTGTTTTGCGAAGCACTGGATTCCACGTCGACGACAATTTAAAGCCGTCCTCCCGATTGAAATTATTTGGGCATTTCTTTATTTCAACCGCTTCACGCACAAGTCTTGTATGGTAGTGGCGATCAGTGGAGAGAATTTGCGGTCGGTGGAATTCTACCCAGTGATTAGAACCAGCCTGGAGCAGGTGTTCTGCTATCGCTGATTTGTTGCTCTGTCGATTTTTTACTGCGGCGATATGTTCTTTGAGCCTCTCAGCAATGGTCCGCTTCGTTTGCCCAATGTAGGAACTACCGCAGCTGCAGTTGATCTTATAAACACCTGGGCTTTGTAGCGGCAGTGCATCCTTCGCCGT